GCAAATTAAAGCAGAAAATGCTCACAGATGATTAAGAAGATTAGAAACTAGTGAGATCGATCTGCTAATAATCAATATTTAACCTTGAAATTTGATTCTGTAATCTATTACTTAAACTGTTAGACCAGAGACTTCACAAAAGTTTCATAGTTTGTTTCCATTTGTCATGAGCCACAACTTCCTTTCAAACAACAGCTTTAACAAAGTCTGAGAAGTTATCATCACTGAAACAAACAATACACCCAATCACTTTCATCTTGTCCCATTTCAACCACAATAAGCATAAATCAAGACAGACATCGAACGGCTCAACAAAATTAGATTCAAGAACGCCACAAATTAAACTCTGTTATGATCAACCAAACTTCAATAGTTCAAACATTACGTATTCATTGACAGTTTACAGATATATTTCATCGAGGTTGATGCTCAAATTCTCTGCCTGAAACTGAAACCAGTGGGTAATAGTCGGTATCTAATGAAGTGGTTACTGAACTACTAATGGAATAAATCACAAATAGATAATGAGGATTCTCAAACACAGGACTACGCCTTCTGTTACTGTAGAGCTCTCAAACCTGGTATATATGATCGGTCTTAAAAATTTGTCTTGCCTTTCTCAAAATGCTCCAAAAGAACTGGATCAATCGAAAATTCGTCCCTAACGACATTAACAAATGTCAAATGATCACGGTGAATAATAATGGTACTATATCTTTTATTTTTCGGATTGCTCCATGAGTGCGCTGATTGTTTAATGCAAAAACTAGAAATGATACGATCATGATGCACCTTACCTCTAGCACCTATCTTATTGTTTCTTTGGGCCCGCTAGTTATCGCGTGTTTTGTTCACCAGCCGAAATACGACTTATTCAATCTTATTACTGTACCAAACCAATGACGTTCCACCGGTATGTGCAGCCAAGAGTCCTTATTGGTCCTTTGTTCGCTTAACCCGTCCAGCTGAGTCCAAAACGCCAATAACAGCTCTCACTGTGCCAATCTTTATTTCAAGCATACGTGGTTTTTATACTAGGCAAACAGACCGCATCGCACTATAAAATAGGAAATATCGTTTGTACAAGATCAAGGCAAAATGTGGCTGTGAACATTAGAGAAGGCGGTCAGTAAAATGAGTATAGTTTAAGAAAAGTAAATCGATAATAATAATCTATGGGTCAAAATGAAACTTATAATTAAATGAATATAGATATGATATGTGAATATGTGATATGTGATATGATATATGAATATAGATTACTAGGTTATACAATAAGAATATATATATATATATATATAATACTAGTTCATTAATAGTCCTCGGAAGTCGTCCGTAATCTAACCTTTACTAGGATATGATAACTCTGAGGGATTATTAACAAGATTTAGTACTAAATCACACCTAATAAGACACTCTTTCAAGACAGAATACGAAGGAACTCGGACAAAAATAAAGAATCTGTAAATTATGGGACTTCCTTCTACAGGCAGTTGCAACGGTACTCCCTACAGAACCTTGACAATATCGGTAGGGATGGAGACTATTCTAGATGCTACTGTAAATTTATTCGTGTCGTAGCAGCAAATAAATCGACGAAAGAAATAATTCCGTAAGTCTTCGAGCTTTGATGCTCACCTCAGTACATTCAATAGACAGGTCTAGTTAATGGCTCTCTGTCACATCCGCACCAGACCACGAGGGGGTACGCCATGCTGCGCATTTCTTACAACCGTTAGCCAGCTTGGATTAGACGCCTCTCTATATATCGATGGTCTTCTACAGACACCTTCGAACCCTTTCATTTCTGACCTCTGATCAGACTGGGTTTGACATATTTCGATTGTGAAAGTGTTATTAGTTGGGGCGTTGTCAAACTCCGAATACCCAGTCTTCAGTCAGTCTTCAGTCTTCAGTAATAAGGATAGTAGGTTGATGAACCTGTGTTAATCCTGACAGATTTCCTTCCAGTGAAGGTCCAGCTTCTTTTTGAAAATGTTTACTGATGGTGCTGATACCACTTGTTCTGGTAAAGCGTTCCAGTCATTGACCACTCGATGAGAAAAACGGGACCCCACCTTTAGTTTATTAGATCGCGGTTTGAGAACCTTCTTGCTATGACCCCGGAGATTATTAGTGCTGGAGGGAGCAAAAAGGTAGGACATATTAACACCCAGATCATAATTAAAGATACGAAATGCCAGTATAAGGTCACCTCGCGTCCTACGATAAGATAAGAGGAAAAGATTTAGACGTTTTAAACGCTTATCGTAAGGGAGTTTGGAAAGACCCTTTACTAATTTTGTCCCTACACGCTGGACACGCTCAAGCGATTTAGTATCCTTTATCAGACAAGGGCTAGCTGCTTGGATACAGTATTCTAAGTGTGGCCTTACATAGGTGGGATATAAAATTCGAAAAATATCCTCGTCAAAGCATTTAAATGCTCTGCGAAGCGACCATAGCGCGCGATAGCCTTTGGAAGCAACCGCACTGCAGTGCGTTGTAGTTTTTAAGTCGTGACTTATAATTACTCCTAAGTCTTTATGCGCATGAACGCGTGACAGAGATGTACCATTAATGGTATAGTGGTAACTAATATCGTGCCCGATGTGCATGAACACGCTCTTCCTAGAATTAACTTCCAGGCCCCAATCATGAGCCCACCTAACTAATTCGTCTAAATCTGCTTGTAGATAACAACGATCAGTCTCATTTCTTATTGTTCTCCAGATTTTAACATCATCCGCAAACAATAACGTCGACGACTTAAGTAATAAAGGTAGTTCATTAATATACAGAAGGAAAAGTAAAGGGCCCAAGATGGTGCCTTGGGGTGCACCACTTTTGACCGGTTTCCATTCGGATAGAGTTCCATTGACTCTCACTCTCTGTCTGCGGTCACATACGAAGCTTCCTATCCATTCCTGTATAGCACCTGTTATACCAAAGCTCGAGAGCTTTTGCATAAGACCTAAGTGTGAAACCTTATCAAACGCTTTGCTAAAATCTATAAATATCACGTCGACAGACTGCCCGTTGTCTAGTGCAGCTGTCCAATCCTCTCTCGCAATGAGTAAGTTAGTCAAGCATGAATGCTTGTTACGAAACCCATGTTGCTCGGGAGTTAACAGATTGTACGAATCAATGTGGCTCAGTAGCTTAGCCCGAATTAATTTTTCAAGTAACTTAACTACTATACTGGTCAGGCTAACAGGCCGGTAGTTAGATACTATCCGTCTCTGACCATCCTTAAATATAGGACTAACTATGGCGTCTTTCCAGTCTCTAGGTAGTTGAGCCTGTGAAAGGGATATGTTGAAGAGCATCGTGAGCGGTCTTGAGATAATGTCCGCAAGCGACGACAGCAAACGTGGGTGTAACCCATCGGGGCCCGGTATCTTACAAGGTTTTAGGTTAGTTATCAAAGGAAGAACTATATCCTCTGTCACGTGTAAAGGTCCTATGGCTGGTATCTCATTGTCAACGGGACAAGTAGTTGTAACACTACACGTAGAGTAGACTTCACTGAAATAGTTTGCAAATAACTCCGCTTTCGCCAGATCAGATTCAGCCAATAAAGCTGAATTTTCGCTTAACAGTAATGAGGGGATACCATCACTACGTTTCGTCCGCCTTTTAACGTACGAAAACAGTCGCTTCGGACAGGTACGGCTATCGTATGCCAACTGTCGTTCGTAAGCCGTGCGGGATTTAGCTATGGTCTTTTTACATATATTCCGGATTTTTTTATATTCGCACTTAAATGATGCCTGACCTGTTGACAAGAATAAGTCCCAGAAGTGTTTCCTACGCTTCAACAGCTTCCGGGTTTCCTTATTAATCCATGGAGGGCAATATGATAACTTACGTGCTGACCATGGGATAAACGGTTGAGTTACGGATTCGAACGTAGACTTAAACCTATTCCATGCATCATCAATCGATCCATCAGCATCGACCGACCAGTCAATTGAGATAGCATAGTCCCTGATTGCCGGAATATTAGCTCTCCAGATATTAGGACGGGGTGGAGCTGATGCAAATTCTATACCATGTATCCGGAACTTAAAGGAAAGTACGACATGGTCACTATTCACCAATGGGGGAAGATGTTGAATGTCAACGATATCCTCACAGTGGTGTGTGAGGACAAGGTCTATCAATGACGGATTATGTTCCAAGTCTATATGTGTTGGCTTAACGATACATTGTACAAGTGCACATTGAATAATTGATGACAGAAGGACGCTATCGAAACCCCCACCTGGAGCTGTGAGCTCTATCCAGTTTATATGGGGTGCAATGAAATCTCCAACGATGAGACAACATTCTGCTTTACTCCAAGAACAGACGTGTTTTAGGATAAAGTCGTCAGCGAGACAACACGGACTACGATAAATTCCTCCTATCGTCACTAACCCGTTTCTAGACCTAATTGTACAACATACTACCTCACACGTACCACACGTACCCGTGGCATTAATTTGCTTCACCCTTTGGATTTAGAAAGAATATGATAGAAATCGCAAATATTTATGATCAGGAACGATGTCTCGAAATTCAGGAGCAGTAAACGAGAAACAAATAATTTATTAGTTATGTCTAGCAACTACTGAAATCGAAACACCAGGGGAGTTAAAAGTCGTAAGAAGATAGTATCCTTATATAACAGGCTAACCAACTACTGTTGTAAAAGTACTATTCACTCCGTCTACGAAAAGGTTCGAGACGGAAAACAACTAGAGAAGAATAAATGTGGAGTTTTGTCTGTCAATGTAGAAACCGAGAGAAATGCTTATCTGAGACATTGAATTATTGCAAATGAGTGGCTAGACGTTTGAAATTGACTGGAAAACTGTTTCATCAAAATCATACTGGCCAAAGGAAATTTATTGAATCAATTTTTCTCGGTGACCTTTGTTCCTGTGAATGCGATAATTACATAATCTAGCTAGAAGCGCTCAAGATAAAGTTGCCCTCTTTGCTGCAGGCTACGTATGTCCAGTGAACGGTCTAGAAGCGTGCGCAGTTTTCTGGATGAAGTAGGTTCATTTTTGTATGCATTCGTATGCTTTCCTGTAGAAATTCAAACCTACTTTTGACCAGGTAAACGAAGTTAAACCGCTTTAGTAAGTAATTAGTATGATATAGAAACTGGTATCCCTACATCGGATCTTAAACAATTTCTCGGGAAGTCTCACTTGTCAGAATCGAAAGTTCACAAAATTGTGGACTCGGCAGATAAAGATGGAAACCAGTTCATTACTTACAATGAGTTTATAGAACAAGTAAGTATTTTCAAAATATGATGTATTGCATTGCAAGCTGTCAGTGTGTGATGTGGTGTAACGCATAGTAATAGAAAAAAAATGTATGTGACAAACGACAAGCGTAGAACAAGAAGTCTGGTTGATATAGCTGACGTTTTGTCCAATGATACTTGTATTTATCATATTAACTGATGGTGTGATTATTTGGTAATATTTCTAATTATCCTTTAATGCGTATGGATAGTATCTATTCAAATCCTAGTTCTTGTTGTGTATGTGTGCAGTTGGACTAGAGATTATGTTTTTTTTTCATGGCAAAATCATTCGGCTATCCATGTAGACATTATTGTGGTTGCTTCCAGTTATGCTATGGATATATTGTGAAAACGTTTGATGCATATATTTCAAGCTATTATTCCGACACATTCAAGCCAACGTATTTCTCACCTTCGAACCTTAGTATTTATCGTTGAAATATAGTAACATTGTAGTTTATCATTGATAGATGAAACTGACGTTTTTGTGGTGGATGGTATCTGTGAAATTACATAATTGGAATATTCGGAGCAGTTAATGGAATGCAGTCACTTGATACTTCGTCATATTTTCTGAATTGCTTTTGTACTGAAAATGAATTTTTCACTGATAGAGTATCAATTTTCTAAACATGTGGAATATCCCACTAGGTCTGTTTGGAACTCTTGAAATGTTAACTTTTAGTATCGTCAATACGAAGAGCTACTAATGGAAGAGAAATGCGTCTGTTCTCCTCTTATTTGTTTAAATAACCCATGACTTGGAACTGTGTTGACGTTTAACTGTTAAGTAACACTAATGGGCTGTTGGTTCAATTTTTTACTGTGTAATTAAAATCCTATTTCATCACATTTGTGTATCGTGTAAACTACAATAAATGTGGTTGAAAATCTGAATTTCTTTGTACAGCCTGGTATTTCGGTTACATTTATATTTTAAATTACTGGATATGTAGAATGTCACAAAGTGATCGTCACATACATTCCTGTATTTTATGTTTGTTCCACTTTATTCAGTGATTTCGTGGATCATACGACACTATAGACTACTACAGATAGGATACATTTGATCTTGTCAAGATACTTTTCTGCAAGCGTTGCTCGTGAACCCTAGTTATTTTCACTAGGGGAGCTAGCTCGAGGACAGTGTTAAGTAATCGCATCAGGCGACTTAATCAGGAAACAACTGAATTGCCTTGTATTTTGAGTCTTTTCGTGTGCCGAATTTCGCGGTTATGATTTTGACTTTTTAATTTCTATGTCTTTAAAAAACATTTGAGTAGGTTCTGTCTGAAGATGAAAAAGTTATCCGAAGGTTGCGTATTCACAAACGGATTCTCAATCGTGCAGTTTTGGCTATAGAACCACATTGTGGACGTGAGCATCAGCGAGCTGTTGTCATTGATTCTGGCTATGACGCCAATGTTTGTAGTTCAAGTGGAGCGAATATTAATAATTATATAGAGGCGTATGACTGTCGCCCTCCTCCTATATTTATCCCTTTGATAACTATCGCTGAGGTAATTCGTTTTCTGATTGAATGATAGTACCTTGTTTTACATGATTGTGTTTTTGTGTGTGAGTCTGCAAATTATTTCATTGTTCACTAAGAAATGTCTCTCAGCACTATTCTTGTTCAAAATACTAATTCTGATGAGAACGAATTAGTTTTCGAAGACAGTCACATGAAAGCAGCACTAAACAGTGAAATGGATCTCTATAATTTGAATCAGATCTGTATACGAAGTTGTAATTTTGAAAGCCACATGAGAAATGGTATATTTTGATTCACTGTATATGGTCTTTCTCACTATGTGTGAGGAGTCAACAATTGTCTGTAATTGTTCTGTATTGGATACTTTGTTTGAGCCATATTTAGACATAATTTTCAAATTTCCGGGGGCACATTGTTTCGTCGATCCCATTGTTCTCTGTTGTGTCTTGTTTTTGAAAAGCCATTTCATAATTTTAAAGTGATCCATAAGCATTTTAATAGCTAACTATATTGTTCGCTAACTTATCAGAAATGATTTCACACAATGTTCCTCTCATAGGCCAATGGTTCAGAGTATTTAATTCTTTCGGGATAATCTCAGCATACGTTTTATAACTTAATATAAAGTTTCGATGTTGGTTAATATTGACCTGTAATTTAGAAATAATATCGTTTTAATCTACTAAATGGCTTGTTACATTTTTATCTGCCACAGGGTCACCATAGTGTTCAGCGGTTCGTCATCAGCTTTATAAAAGTAAACGACTGTGACCTCTCTTAGTGTTGCGCATTCGGTTTATACTTCTTAAGGAGATACCTGTTATTCTTGCGCTATGTTGACTATTATTGGCGATGGTTGGGAGTTAGGGGCGGCCAAACCAAAACGTGGCATCAGGGCATGAAGTCACTAACTTCTAGTCTGAGCCATGTTGGTAGATGCAGACTACTTGGTTGGGGTCCGCGTGACTATCGTAACCAATGGTTGGAGACTGTGTGACATTGCTAAAATCGATCGCAATGGCGTAGGTGTATACACTCTCTGTCTTCCCTTAAACCTTGAGACTATAATTGCTTCATATCTGTCTTCCTGTACTATATTTTTATATACAACTTTTCTGTTATATATTACCGCAACTAAATTAACTACTACTATGAATTCGGTGTTCATCTTGTTGTGCTAATGAGGTATGACAACTTGGACCGATGCATATGTGTGCCTGGTCCTACGTTGTAGATGACTGACCTGTTATTCTTTGAATCTCATCTTTTTTCTCATGATTAGTCTATCCAACCTCATTTGTGAATTTTAGGCGGTATAATAATAATAACTTTGTATTTTTAAATTTCACAAGTAACTTATTAATGATCGCTGATACTTTTGATGTTTTTGTCATTTCAGATTGCAGTTTTTATATACTACTTTGTTACTTATAGAAACCAACCTGACTCCAATGATTTTACACATTCATCTGGTTTTCCTATTGATAGTATACTTATATATAACCCGACTAAGCGTCACGAACTATGGAGGTTTTTAACCTATATGTTTATTCATTATGGTTATAACCACCTAGTTTTTAATTGTCTAGTGCAAATTGTACTTGGTCTTCTACTTGAATTGGTTCATAAATTTTGGCGAGTTGGATTAGTTTATTTTTTAGGTGTTATTTCAGGTAATATTTTGCATTGTTATTTGTAAAAGGTCTTTTAAACACTTATGATATTAAATTCATTTAGTATTGTTTGTTTGAATCTTCCCATCGATGTGTTAGGATTGCAACTGGTCAGTCTCTAATTGGCATATGTGCAAACTGTGCGTATTGCCTCGATATAGCCTTAATTCACAAACATGGTAAGCAGAGATGGATAGTGGCTAGCAGTGGAATCTAGGACGCTCGTTTTGTCCTATTTGGGACTCGTCAGCTGAATGTACCTGCACCTCAGAGTTGATGTTCATTATCCACCTCTGCTTACCATGCTTGTGAATTAAGGCTATATCGAGGCAATACGCACAGTATGCACATATGCCAACTAGAGACTGACCAGTTGAAGTCCTAACACATCGATGGGAAGATTCAAACAAACAATACCAAATGAATTCAAACTTCACCCCATCGCACAATCAAGTGGCTATCAGGACTCAGTGGCCGAGTGGATAACGCGATGACATTTGAAGCGGGGGTACTGGGTTCGAGTTTCGGAGTGAACATCAACTCTGAGATTCAGGTACATCCAGCTGACGAGTCCCAAATAGGGCGAAACGTGCGTCCTGGATTCCACTGCTAGCCACTATCCATCTCTGCTTACTTATGATATTATTTTTCTTAAAATTTAGGTTATAAAGTAATCGGCTAGGAATGCATATCCACTCAAAAATTGTCGAATGCACCATAACCTTATGTTTGAAAGTATGGCGTCTACTCTTACTGTCATTGATTGTTTTCATCATAGAATGTATTAAGTGTTGATAGTGGCCAACTTCTGTTGGAATGTAGTTTTGTGTTCATTCTTATGCAAGTCATCGTGACTTTTGCTCAACCTGTACGGAGCTGATGAATCAGTGATGAGAATATTTAATGTTTGGCACTGCATGCATAAATGTTATCGACGAGCTACTGAAAATACAGGTGACTTACAATAGGAATAAGTTGTCTGATCATAGTTTTAGTCCCGATTACTTATCAAATAACGATGATTTCTCGAAGTGTGGTTTCTAATCTAACTAGCGTCATATTAAATACTAAAAAATATGTGTTCGTGCGTTATAATAATTATATCAATCAAATTGTTTATCAAGTGGAATATTTTTGCGATAGGAAATATTCGACTGAATGGGTTTGATTTTTTATTTTGTCGAGGTAATAACAAATAAGGAAGTGCGACCATATAAATATACGCAATTATGTTCACCAATACTGTTTTAGAATCAGTTCATGAAAGTCTAAACATCTGGTTAGTAAATTGGCGTATATTTCTACAAAGTGGCTTAATAATCATACTTTTAGATGATTGTATATGTATACGTATTTGCCAACCTTTTGTCTTTTGATGTTTTAATAAAAGTTGATGGTTATTTATCCCATTCTGTCTTGTGTATGTTAATGCTTACAATAGGTTCCTTAGCTAGTTCTGTTACTGACTCATTCTCCCTGGTGTGTGGAGCTAGTGGTGGCTGTTATGCTCTTATTGGTGCTCATTTAGCCACTGTAATAATGGTATGTTAGGTTTTCTCTCTTGTAATTGTATATTTCTAAGAAATCTCATGTAACATACAATTAAAGATGATATGTTTGTCGTCTATCGATTGTTGGTATATAAACTTTAGTGTAATGTAAATCGAATGGTAGTAAGAGGTTCCGTGGTTTCGATAATGAAGACCTAGAAACGGATTACTAGTCGGAATGGCAGCATAAAGTGGTTCTTAGTATGGAACACCAAATTAGAGACACCATTATAAGAAATACCATGTCTAGTTAACTTGACTCGAAGCCAGTCAGATGAGTGCGTATGTTTTCGAATTCGAAGGGTAAAATGTATGCGAAGCAGTATTTTGTTCACATAAGTCATTTTAAATAAAGAATTCATTTCGTACCTGTGTAGGTAGATTTTCTCTTCGTTGATACTAACTGGTAGTCTTACTTTGGTAAAATTAGTCTCATGATAGATCCATCAGATGTGATACATTTACTGTGATGACTGATATGACTAAACTAATCATTCCCTCATGTAACGCGTTCGGAAAATTGTTTTTTTATGAGAATAAAGATAATCCAGCGAAGAACATTTACTTTCCAACGATTTCATTTACTGAGGCTGTACAACGGTATTTATAATTAATGTTTGCCAAAAATGACCGTTTATGGAGTGGTATCGAACAAATAAAAAGGAATTGAAGTCGTTTATGTGAATGCAATTAATTGATGGCAACAGCTGAACTTGTCTAGGATGTCGTTGAAATTAATATTATTACAAATAGTGAAAGTATTATCTAACTATCTCTTGAATGAACAAAAACTGTCAATCGTAGGTTTAAGTACAGTGTTTTCGCGACTGACCACAACACAGCTAGGATTCGGTTAGTTGTTGATCATATCCCTATTCCATCAGTTTGTCTATAGAACCCATTATCAAGTTTAAATTGGATGTTAGAAGTGTATCGGAAAACTGATATCCAACATTTTCTGTTTTTATTATGTTCAACTAGTAGGCAAATTGTTTCTGTGAGACGGGAACATCTGTAAAAAAGAGGTAACATCAAATAGAAGCATCTTTCTCGCTACGTTATCATCGGTTATTGAATCAACTGACCAAACTAACAGTGATGTGTCTATCTGGTTGATTTTTGACCGATCGTAGAATTTCGGCTAATCATTTAGCAATATCATAACATGAGTTATTCATGTCTAGTTAGTGCGTTGAGCAATATCTTTCTTTGGTAGTATCATTAATAATGCTTCAGCAAAGGTTATGGAAATGTAAAACCAATCCTTTCAAATAATGGTCATGTCTTTGACTTAGCTCATGGTCATGAGATATTAGTTTGAATGACAACACTGTCAACAAAGTACTTGGTGGTTAAATATCAATAGGTAATTAGGAAATCGTTTCTTCTGATACCTATCGGATTACAATAGAAAAATTACATTCGCAAATGAATTTTCTGTTAATAGTGTCTATTTAACTTTATCAAAGTTCGTGCTGTTTTCTTTAAAGTATTGTTTTATTTTCCGAATACTTCAGAATTGGGATATAATGCAGGAGGGATGGCTAAAAGATCCTTTAAGCTTTATATCAAGTGGTGTTGTCAGATCAGTTATAATTATTGTACTTGGTAGGTTTTATCCGTCATATACTTTTTTGTAACGTAAATTACTGCACACCATAGACCTATTTATATAATTCTTTCATCTATACTACTGCTTTGTTTAGCTAAAGTCCGTTTTTTATTTGTTTTTTTTACTAATATCCATATTTGTTCTTGAGTGTGGTATTCTTTTTTTGTCAATCTTTGCTTATGTAGACAGACGGGTACTTTCTGCCGATTATAGTTTCTTTGTAAAACGTGTCCTGATTTGAAAAGAATTCATACAGTACTTTTACCTGCTGGGTAATAAAAAACACAAATACAAAGGAGGTACTAAATATGTGGAAGCATCATCGACGAACAAGGAGAGTCGGATTCAGACGTAAAGGCGAGGATTGACGAATCAAGGGCTGCATTCCTACAGTTGGGGAATGTATGGAAGCCAACATCAAAGTCAGAATCTTGAATGAGAATGTCAAGATAGTTCTGCTGTACGGAGCTGATACGTGGAAAACTACTACAACCATCATCAAAAGGGTACAAGTATTTGTAAACAATTGTCTACGCAGGATACTAAATGTCCGTTGACCGGAAACTACTAGTAATAGCCTACTGTGGGAGAGAATAAACCGGCTTCCAGCTGAAAAGGGAATTAGGAAAAGATGTTGGAAGTGGATGGGACATACATTACGGAAATCACCAAACTGCATCGCTAGGCAGGTGTTTACCTGGAATCTTGAGGGGAAACGAAAAAGAGGAAGACCAAGGAACACACGGCGTCGAGAATTGGAAACACGTGGAAAGAATGAATAGCAGCTGGAAAGTATTGCCCAGGATAGAGTTAGACGGAAAATGCTGGTGAGCGATCCATGCTCCTCGATGAGGGGTAGCTTGTGTAAGTAAGTAAGAGTAAATATGTCTCTTAACCTAGGAGTAATCGTTATTTTTGTCTGTAGAACATTATACTAATTGTTTTTTATTTTGTCCGTCATTCTAATACTCTTTTCTTCTAAGCGGTATTTTTATTCTTCAATAAAGTTGTCACAATAGTATTAATTGTAAACTGCATTTGGTTGTGTTACCTTTCAATCAATAAATCTTAGTTTTGAACTGTGCCGCACTCTTTTATGTTTAGTCAGTTGACATCACTAGTGTCACATATAACAAGTCTTGGTCATAATCTAATGAAGATGTTCAGATTTCATACTATAGGTCCACAAATTTTATGTACAGGTGTTTTGTTTTAAGCTGTAAATTTGTTATCATAAATCTCGAACAAAAGTAGTATGTCAGTTGAACACAATTGTTTGTGGGATGGAGTTCCATTTAGACTGTACTGTAATAATACATATTATCTAATTAACCGGAATTAATGGCGAAATGTCATTATTGAAATTAGGTCTCATATTTGGTCAGAAAAATCAGACCTTTTGGAATGTTTATGTGAAGACTGTTTTAAATTGTTACTACGACTAGCGTTGTAATCGTTTTTTGAATCTACATTATTTTCATCGACATTAATATACGTTCTCTGTTATTTTTTTTCTTTTTAATTGTTTCTGAGGTGGTAGTGATACTGCACTTGCTATATACGATCGGTTTTCAAATCCGAATGAAAAAATACGTGTTGGTTTCTCTGCTCACTTTGGTGGTTTTATAGCAGGTTAGTAATTTAATCTTATCTCGATTCCTTTTATTTGTGATGCTTTTTATTACGTCTGCTTATTTATTCATTTTCCAGTGGTAACTTATTAATAATGTCGTTAAATAACTATCAACTGTTTATTATTATTCATTAAGATGTGGTTTTGTTTTTAACATGACTCAAATTAACAATGACTACTAACTTAACTTCATGTTTGTAGTACTTTTGCCTTGAAAAGAAACCTGACTTTCATTTCTGGGATAGCATACTCGCTTACAAATATAGAATATTTCTGAATCATTTCTATGTGGACTAATCTTCACAACCGTCTTATTTTATTCGATGCATATGACTATTTCGATATTCATTAGACGTATCTATTTGTTTAGCTTATTACTATTGAGGTCAAAAACAAAAAGAATATTGTAATTGTATGTATTTATAGAATTGTTTCAATACTAGAAGAGCTATGTGTTCATCCTATTTTATGCTCACAGAAAAATTTTATTGAGATTTTCTTCTGTCAGTGGATGCATATTGAATGTAATTATGTGTTGTATTGAATAAATAAGATGGAATGATTTGATTATCTAACGAAGTCTTAGACTTGTAAATCATACCGTGTAACTCAATATATTTGAAGAGAGTTTCTGTTTTTTTTAATGGTGATGGCTCTGATTTTGAACGAAGAACAATCTGTTTCAAAATTTTAGCTAGTTATGGATCCCAAGAATTGTAAGATTTTGTACTAGTTATCTCTTAAATTACTATTAACAAATACAATGCGCTGACAGTATTCAATAGTGCAAATGATGTAGTCCATTAAGGTTCTCGGTACCTGTGTAATTGTGTCACAGGGTTGTGTTGTGCAGTTCCAGTCGTAAAGAGATTAGATGAGGCTTATTACTCCTTAAAAGTAGTGCAAAATTATCCAGTTTCAGTGTATATTTGTAATGTTAGTGTGGGGTGGTGGTTCAGGAGTTAATGTGTTTGTCTTTCAGCTACTGAGCCTCGGGACTCCAACCCTGCAGCCAATTTGTTTCTGTCGACCGGCTTAACATTTAACATGTGTCTGAAAGCCAAGTACACGAATCGGTACTTGTTGGTTTTCAGAAACGATTAAAGCTTTTGGTTATTACATTTAAGTTAGAAGAACTTACAATCAAATGACCATGCAGTAATTTTTCCGACTCATTGTTGGTATACTACAAGGTGTTTGACATAACACTGACACAGATTGTCCTTTTCAAATAGTGACATTGGAAAACATATCACCAAAATGTTTTTCAAATTTTATTGTTTTTAAATTTCATTATATATTTCTCACATATGTGTCTTATTTTTTTTTCATTTCTAGGTCTTTTATTAGGTGTAGTTATTTTGCGCAATTTAAAGGTAGAAAAATGGGAAAAATATTTTGCTTGTAATTGTGTTTTAATCTTCCTCCTATTTGCTGTAGCAACTATCCTATTCAATGTATATTGTTACAGAATTAATGAATGTCCTGCATGTGATTGGGATATTCAATAGTTGATCAAATTTCTTTATCTTTTAAGAAAAAAATACTGAAATTTTTCTCTTCTATTTTATAAAACCATGTTAGTTGTGATTGTAAATATAATTATTTTCTCTATTCCTATATGACTTATCAACACATTTCATATTTTATATTCTCCGTTTTTGCCTTCTTTTTATTTCTTCTTTGTTGAGTCTTATCTCATTATTGAGTTGTCAAAGGCACACTCTAAAATACAGAAAAATTTACTGTGATTAAAATTTGTAAAACAATTTATAATTTTTTTCTTTTCTTTTTGTTTGGTCTCATATTAGCGCTAACGTCTTTCTTTGAAATTATCATTTTTATTGAACACCATTAGTTCTAAAATCATTAATTAAAGATGAAAATCTATCTCGTCTGGTTAACCTTTCACATATAATTCTAGTGCTTGGAAATATTTTCATGCATTTTTGCATATCTATACTTGTGTTTAAGAATGTAAACAATGAACCACACATTTTTGTTGTTTTGTTTTGAAAATTGCTTTTAGTTCTTTTTATTTGTTACTTTCTAGTTTTGCTAAATGGGATTTCGTCTGTAATTATCTGTATATAGTTCTGTAGAGTTAAATATTTTTTTTATCATTCTTAAACATTTTTTGATTGACTATATTTGTTTGTGCATCAGACAATCTAATATTATCTTTGTGACCTTTCATTTTATGATTTATCAGTTTATCAAATATAGAGTTTATGCTTAATTTTTGAATGGATGCTATTCAGTTACTATCAGTAATAGCTTTTTTCTTGAGAAACAAATGATAGGTCAGTACAAATAACAGACGGTGAACAATTAAGGCTGTGTGTTTTTTGTCAAGAATTTTGTTGATCTCAGTTTCTAATTATTGTAAATTCCAGTTCCCAAAGATAAAATTACGATATAAAGAGTTAAATTTTCTTATTTGTTATTTTATGTTGAGAATGAGATAATAAATATGTATTTACAACGGTATGTAACATTCCAAAATTGACTAAATGCTGATCACAAACAGTATATTCTCTGGAGTAGTTGCTAGCACGTATAAGTTTGCAAACTCGTATGTTTGTATAGATCAATGTAGAACTCCGTTGTTTCACTTCACGCAGTCACATATAGAACTCATAAGTTCATTGTTCATTATGCCTAAATAGAAACAATGTTTTACAGAGATGTTACATTATAAACACTAAATAAATGGCCGTGACACAATCTATTGGTTCTACACAATTAAATCAGTTAGTATTATTTTAAACAATTATATTATCAAATTCAGAGACATTGATTTACATGCTTCCTATTGGAAACTAATAATGGACGCCTAGGGATGAAGCACTCGAATTTTAACCAAGTCTCAGTTTGGAGCAGCTCATTGAGTTTCCTACAAATAAGTGTTTGAAATAGTGTGAAATATTTAAAAAGTGATACTGCTTTATTTTATAAGAACTTTGGTTGCAAATGAGTTCTTTTCTGAAGTCGGTAGTTAAGGGCTTACTACACATGCTTGTGTAATTTATGGGAGTTGTTTGGTACTGTGATAATATCCTAATACTTTGCATATACTTTTTACCTATCCCATCTGCAGAACTTACTGTATAAGACGATTTCAAGGACTGTTTGTAATAAGATTTTCGTGGTTTTATAAAAATCCAATGGACATTTCGTCTAATTTGATTTTAAGATGAGTTCAGTATGAAATGCATTCCGTTTAGAATAGTTGTATTTATACTACTCACAAGTAGTTCTAAATAATATCCATAATTTTTAAAAATTGTTGTAAATTGCTTTTTCCTTTAACTGATGAGAAGAAATCTTCTCTTTTATCATACATATATGATACAGTTGTACTTATTTAGCACTTTATTCCTTCGTTATAAAAATAATTTCATCCTCACAAGAAAGACATGAATTTAAATCCTAAGCAACTTGGTTAGTTGTGTTATTTAATTATATATCTATATTGAATAGCCAATTAATCTCTGTCCTTATTTAGGTGTAATTTCTCATTAGAAAGAAGGTATTTGACTTGATTGGTTATGTATTTTTTGGGTTTTTGAAACTTTGTTCTAACTGATGCAAGAAGTCATCTTAAAAAGTAAATTGAAACTAATCCAGACGAGTACAATATGTGGGAATATGAATGTTAACTCCCAGACCCTCTGAAGCTTTGTATGGTATTTATTTAAAATGGATCACATTGTCTTTTTATCCAAATCATACATTTAACTGTGAATACTAATTTGAATATTTCTATTATGATAATGCAAAAACACAATTTAAGCGAATCAGTAATTTTTGATAATTCTTTGCGAAGCATTGAAATTACAAGTAGAAACAATTATATAGAACAAATTTGAGCAAACTGCATTACTTGAGATTAATTAAAAGTATTTGTTAGATTGATTAGAAGTTGAATAATTTACTTGAAGGATACATGAAGCTTCACATTAAAATCGAAAATACCAATCAGAAAACATTTTTTGGGAATGTTGTGCGAAGTGGTATATTTTAAAGAATATATTGTGGGACTCCGAGGTGCAGGTACATCCAACTAACGAGCCCCAGGTAGTTAGAAAAGTGCATCCTGAATCCCAATGTTGGTAACCATCCATCTCTGCTTATATTGTGAAATAGTTGATTATTCCTTGACATTACTAGCCAATTATGTTAGTAATGAAATCTTATTTGAACAAATTACTTCATCAAAGTGTGCGCATGTTTTAAAACTAGCTTTGTATCCTTACTCTATTAGTCTACATGTCTTCATGAGCACATATGTTTCTAAAGAAAATTCTAAACAGTAAACCTGCTCTAGTCTCAAGCTCAATTTTCGTCACCGACTGGTAACTACAAATCTTTATATTTTCATTGAGCTGACAAGAATCAATAATGAAAAAACTGTTTCAGTGACCTCAGAAAATTAATCATACTTATTTTGGGACGTTAGGTTCACTGACAGTTTCGTCCCCAGTGAATGAGACTGACAACGAAGATTAATAGAATACACATTGAGATAGTATTTATACTAGTCTCATGTGATCGAGACTACTTTACTACTTCGAAAGTATTTTGTTTAGTGTATGCATAAACTGAATTAGGAAACATTTTTATTCAAAATAATTTCATATTTCTATATAGATCAGTTAGGAATTCTCAGAGGCAAACTGTTAACTAAAAGTAATTTCTCAACTATCGCCTGCATATCGTTTCAATCAAGAGAATATTTAATGATTCAGTTTATCATAATTTTACTGATCAGGATAAAATTGTTATAAACTGGTTTTGATTGAATAGTTCGGAAATGTCAATGCAATTAATGGACGGATGTAATTAGTGTTCAATACTGTATCTCCAATACTCTTGACACATACCCGAACAATCATATATATATAGTCAGTTTGTAGATTGCTTTGGTGTTTTGTTGAAATTAGACAATAATGTTTTTCATGTTTCGTTCCCCAACCCGTGGGAAATGAAAAGTAATTATCTCAACTACGGAATTTACAGAAGCATATTTATTCACTGTTATATCGCGTGGCTTGGCTAGGCAGAAAGGAGGACTGATAAGTACTCAAGACTGCTCACATGGCTTTTGTGTATCATTGTTCTGGTCGATAATTCACTCCTTTCTAGTTGGCGGGGATCATCACGTCGTATACTAAACAGGCACGCACGCACATACGATATAATATTCATGAACTTAATAAACGAGTGGACTATTGTAACTGGGATTTATACAATGAACTAACAATTTAAAGGGTTTCACAAAATTTCCAATGACTATATCATACATGAACTACAATAGTTTCAGAAAATATTACATCTCTGGTGGACACACTTTGAAATTTAAGCACGAAAAAACTTCAATCTGCCATTACTTTTGTCTTGGAGTGTAATCAATATTCTTAGGATAGTAACAGTGTAGCTTTAAAATCTGAACAAATTGAACACTGTGAATAAAATAATACAACAGATTTTCAACATAATATGATGAGTGTTTCCGTAGACACTATTATCATGCATATGCATATATGTAAGAAAGCCATTGGTAAAATTTAGAACTGTAAACTAATTTTTTCATTCAGTTATGTTTGTTTTCTTGTTTTTTCTATTCTGTCAGTTTTAAATTTAGCTTGAATGATTCTAAAATTAGTTGAGTTAAAATATTATTTTCCTAAAAACAATTGACCATTCACTTCACCTAGAAAGTTGATTTGACCTATTGTGTTAATATTTATGCTACTATATGATTTGAAAGTTTTTTTTTTATTCATTTCATTATTGTTTTATGAAGCTAAATCTTATTTTATTTAAACGTTTGAATTTTATATGAAGTATTCTTTCATTCGGATTTCATATCATCCGAATGTTTGATGTGTCTACTCGTAAGACAATTTAGGATAATTCCAATAATTGCTTTCTCCTAGATTCACTTATGAATTTAATACATTTCGTGATTATTGTTTGTAGTTTTTTTATGGCCAGAATGGGCTTGTTTTATTATCTCGTATTTTACATGATCAAAAATCTAAATTTATTCAAGAATAAAACATTTTCTTTTGTCTGCTCAGAGTTTTGTCGATAATTTTTCAATGCTAATTTAGTTTACAATTTTCTATGGTACTTCAGTATCTCATATATTCATCTTTTCGCAACAATTTACTATTTCGCACACAGGATTCACTATAGATAACATTCTCAAAATCACTATAGATATTTTAGCCTTTATAGTACTGATCAAACAAAATTTATACAAATGGACACAAGTTCTATAATAACTTGTATGAAGCTTTATTTAGCTTTCAGATGACACTTATTTGTTTAAAACTACTAGGATAGCGTGAGGAAGTCCCACACCAATTTCGGTATTATTAACCTACGCGCACATTTTGTACAGCATTTAAATTTTATGTTTCATAAATAAATAGATATGGAGTATTACAGGTCTTAATTTAATGTTCACGTTCCATTCTGTAAATGTTGCGAATTGTCAAATATTTTCTTGAATCGACCGCCAAAACAACTGATCACTGTAGACTTATTTGATGGGCTGAAAAAATTTAAGTATTATGCATGGATGTATTATGTGTAACAATCGGCGTTCACACCGCTAGTTGATTCGTATATAATTTCAAGATACAGTTAAGCTAGTTCTGGTAGGTGAGTTTTATACTTAAAGATTGATGTGCATCATCGCGTTATATGTGCATAAACTACTAGTATGTTCTAATTTCTAAATTATCAATACCCCATATCCGTATGTACTTTATTGTACAGGGTCGAAATCTAATCAGATTAATACTATGGATGATATTTTATTGATAAATATATATAATTCAATAGTTGAGATCATGAGTTAATTGAAGCTAGACCACCATGGAACACCTGAAAGCATTGGACTGCTGTTTCGTCTTAGTATAGGACTCTTCAGCCGTGGACTAGTGGTTAAACGCTCGCACGAGAGACCAATAGGTTCTGGATCCGAATCTTGTAAGGCGGGATCGTTGATGCGCCCTGCTGAGGAGTTTCATACTGGGACGAAACGGCCGTCCAGTGCTTCCAGGTTTTCCATGGTGGTCTAGCTTCAATTAATTCATGATCTCAACTACTAAAATTACTGTAACATCCATAAAAACCCTTTCTGTTATATATATTTGTTATAATTAGAATTTCTGCTACTTCTTCGACAATGTTTGTTTAATTTTTTTATTTATCACATTGAAATTCGACACTCTATTAGTTAGACATATGGCTACATCTATTGTATACATTTTTGATCAAGTGATGTGGTTTTGAACCACATTGTACAGACCAGTATGATGTTGTATTTTGATGACGTTTGAGTCTTTTCAATCAATACTTTTGTGTTGTAAAATTGAATGATTGAAATAATAATTTATCATCTCTTCTTAAAAATGTACACTAAGTGTACAGCGTTATATAAGTTCATTTAAT